ACAACAAGGAGTTTTAGGAGTAGAACCCTTGAAGAATTTAATGATGTGATTCTCAAAATACAATACTTTCTACTGTAAATATGGTCCTATTATTTAAATATTTGGAGCACAAAAGTATCTCTTGATCAGTAACTTTCAGAAGCCTATTTAACTTACATAATTAAATATGCAGACTTAACTGATTAAGTAATTATTTGTAAAAATAAGTTATAAAGATTCTGCATGGCCACAAGGACAAAATTGATACTTTTAGAATTTATATTAAAATCGCTTCATTTTTAATAGTAATATTTTGGCCATAATTCAGATCCGCACAAATACAAAATAACTAGAAATGTTTACAAACATTCGAATGCATATTTTTTATATGAACTGCTTTAAAGTTAAACTTTCTGGAAGTAGATAATTTTCTTAGTCTGACATTAAGAGGACTTCTGATAAGTAAATAAGAAAAACAGATGAAAGACTCTCCTTTCCCCATACCTAATAAAATAAAGAATTAGTAAATACAACTGAAAGCCACTAAGGAAAGTGTCATGTCATATGCATGTCATAAATTTATGAGAAGAGGGCATAAAATGAAGACTGTATTCTCATGTGATATACCAGAGCTTTTTTTTTAAATTAACAATTTCTAGCTAAATCATTTAATGAGATAAATATTTTGAGGGGTGAGGAGAAATAATGGATATAAAGATCACTTATGAAATACACCTCTTACCAACTCTCCAAACTCTTAGAATACCTGAAGAAACAGGAGATTTTAAAAAGTCTCACTAATGTCATAATATGGAGAAACGTACTGAGTAGATAAGTAGTTACACAAGGGAAAACTGTAGGAAAATCCATTGATAGTTGGAGCACCAACCAACACCGAAGATCCTCAGCAGCTCGGCAGGCAGTTTTCCAGTTTTGCACTGAGTCGCAGCAGGGCCAGCAGAAGAAATACACCAAAGCCAGAGGAGTGGACTGCACACCTGCCTGAGAGGAGTGTCCTTGGCAAAGGATGTTTAATAGGATCTCAGAAGATGAAACAGAATCTAGCATGCAAGAAAGGCTAGAAGTAGCCTTTCCTCCCCTCTCATCCTGAGGCTCCCCTCTCATCCTGAGGCTATGAAAATGTACACACTGTGGATAAAATTGTAATATTTCCAGAATATCTCACCTGGCTTTAGCACATCTGCATATCAATAGGCATTCACAGGTGGAAAGAAGTGTGGCTTTAGTGCATTTGCATCATTCCTCAGGGGTGGAGAGTTCTTCTCCATATCAGTGGGTAATTACCTGGGCCACAGAGGGCTTATCTGTACCTGAGAGGTGAGGGGTAGTGCTGGTTTTGCTTCTGCTGGAGCAGGAAAGAGAGATGGTCCGGGACTGCAGTTTGTGAGCAATAAACAGATTTTAAACTTTATTTCTCACTTTCACTGATTTCAATTTGTAGAGGTATTTTGCCTCGGAATTTCCTCTCCCCAGACTTACAATATGCAGCCCTCAAACTATGGCACACAGAAAGAAGACTAAATGAACAAAAAAATAACAAAACTTTGTGAAGGACACTAGAGAAATTACATATAATCTTTCAGATTAAATAGAAGGTCTGGGTAGAATAGTCTGTATCACACACATATCACACGGTATAAAAATAATGTCATAAAAGCCATTTATTTAATCATTCTTTTTAAAAAATGAAAGGAGAAGGAAAGAAAAGAAGAAATAAATATTGAATGAGAAAGGTGAGGAAGGTAGATTTTAAAAATCCAGTTTGGGAAATAAAAAAAGGAACTAAAACAAATCTCCCTAAGTAAGTCTATGTAGACAATAATTGGTAAGGCATTATTATGTTTTTCAAAAGGAGCTCCAAAAATGTTGACAAAATCAAATAATATGAAAGTGGAAACTACAAAAATAAAAAATAAAGACTCAAATCAGAATGCTGAAACCAATTAAATCTAGAATTCAAACCATCCCAACTGGAGGGAATTATGATTGCAAAACAGAATATTCAGAATATAAAAATCATGAAAAAATAATAACACTACAAGAACAAAAAATAGAAGCTGAGAACTAGTAAGGCAGGAACAATTGTAACAATAACATCAATATAAACTGTTATCAGTTAACATTCATTTTGTGTATTTAATATGTGCCAGGCACAATCCTATTCATTTTCTTAATGAATTATCTTATTTCCTAAAAACAATTTATAATCATAGTGTCTTAAGCCATTTTGAAGCTGAGGAAATTAAGGAATGGCAATACTAAGTAAATTTGCCCAAGTAACTGAAGAAACAGATTAAAATCAATCATTCTGATGCCAGACTTTCCCTTATTATCCATCATTAAGCATGAGAATGATCTCATTTTGAGTTATTGATGGTATAATTTAATTCACCTTTGACTTTATTATTTTCTACAGTTTCTTAAAAAGAGGTAATTATTTATACAAAAACAACGAAGCCATTACTCTAAAAAAAAAAATGAAACCTATCATTACTATAAATTAATATAAAGGCAAGTGACTGGGGATAAATGATCCCTCAGCTCAGTCCTTACTTAGCAGTTATGCTCTGAGAACCAAATAGCCCTACGTGAATTGTATCAGGGTAAGCAGTACAAAGCTGCAGAAGTAGAAATTAACTGCCTGCCACTGTTAGTGGCAGACAATTCATGCCATAGATGGCTTTTATATTTGCATAAAAATTTTTATTTTTAAAAAAATTAAGAATTTCAGGCTAAATATGCTTAATATAATTCTATATTTTGAGGGAGGGAAGAAATGGTGAATTATATAACTATCACTGTAGAATGTACTTTTCAAAACTAAATTGGTAATAGTGAATGGCCCAATTGAAGTTTTCTTCATCTTCTGAGTCTGTCAAAATTTTCCATAAAACCTGCAGACTCCATCAACTCAAATAGTTTTATAGGGCAACATTTACTTGAATATACTTAACAATACTTTTTTTTTATTTTAAATGGGCAGATAGTTCTATTTCATTGCGGTAGTGCATGAATATGTGACTGGATAGTATGTTCCTAAGTAAAATTTTCCACTTTGAATAGGAATTTTAAGATAATGAAGAGCTCTGCAAAAATATAATTATCCTTCAGCACAACTGTCTTACCAATTTGTTAATAACTAGAATGATCAGAAAATAGAAAAACGCTGAAAAAACAAAGTCATGGCTTAGAGTAGAACTTAAGTTAATAGGATTTTTGCTAAGAAAAACAAGTGAAAGTGTCCTTCCAGCATTAAATAAAATTTATATAATTGTGTATAATAGAAAACTGTAGGGAAATGTCAAATAATAAACCTTATTTGTGGTACCTACTTACCAGTTTTTCAATATGATAATCTTTAATCTCTTTCATTTCCTTTCTATCCACATTATATATGCATAAATAATCATAGTTACCAGTCTCTCAGGATAGGGACATTCATGGACTTACCATAGCTGCCTCCCTGTATTGAGTACAGAGTTCCATGTTTGAAGGTCAAAATGTTTGAGGAGTTTTATCAAAGAGAAGGATGAATAATGAAGATGGAAAGTATTTTTAAAGTTGCATCATATTTATATTAACAGATAACTAAGGAACTGTTTGTTTCGTTGTGCTTGCTTAGCATTTTGATTTATTTGAAATTGTGTTTTTGTTTTTGAAAGACAGTGTAGTAAAAAAAAGTACACAAACTGGAGAAGAGTCAGAAGACTTGGCTCAAGTCTACCCTCATTTACAAATTGCACAGGACTTAGTTTCCCAGAAAAACCTCAGTTTTAAAGTATCAAGTAAAACACTTCAGGGAAAGTGCTATTGAGTCTGATGAGCCGATTCTATACATTCATATTATTTAGTATTTATGTCCTCGTTTGTATTAGCATATGACAGCAATCTAGGTTAAAAATACACAAGTGGCAAGTATTTTACAGTAAAAGCCTGAAAAAAAAAACAGATCAGATGCAAAATTTTAGGTCTAACAAAAGACTTTTCTTAAAGTAAAAAACTAAATTGTTTCTAAACTGTTCAGTACTTTTTGTTTCTTTCATTCAGTGTGTTGACTCTGAAATTGGTTAGTTTCTTCAGGAAATATTGTTTGTAGGATTAAGATTTGAAAGACAAAATAACTTAAAGAACTGTAATTTTAAAACGTGACACACACCCAGAAATTTTAGCTTATGTACAGTTTTTAAAATAAAACAAAATTCACCTGTGTGATCAATGTAACTCTAATGCAGGGCAAGTACCTACAGATTGCAGGCTCTCTCTAGGGTCATTTTAGAGCTCAGATAGCTGATTTTAGTGTCTTTTCCTCCTTTCAGTTGGTTCTACTGGGACTCAGATACAAAGAATATGAACTCTGTTATCAACCCGTGACCTTTCTGTGAGTTATTTCCTGAGTATAAGATAATGTACAGCTTGTCTGGGGAAAGCTTTTGCGGTGATACTCACTTGTCCTAAGGCTGATAACTGGAGGTGATAGGTAATTCTAAAAACAATATGCAAAAATGTATAAGGAAAACAAAAGCAACATGTTAAGAATAGACTTCAGTTTCAGAGATATTGTAGTCACCAATGCCTACCATTATTTCCATCCTTACTAAAGTTTATTTCCTATAAGCAATAAGGATTTTTATCAATAAATCTTGTATATTCTCTGTTTTTATTCAAGGTAAAGATATTTCTGTAGCGTATGACCTCCTATAAACAAAGCTTTTGACAGATTTCCCTAGGCTCTCCCAAGTTAAGAGTTTGGTTGAGAATAGAACTAGGTTTCTCTATAAATGTCATATAAATTGTTTCATTCTCATTTGAAGGAAAGTATCATTTGGCATTAAAACTCTTCCTGGTATTAATATAAAAATTATTTCTCTACTAGTCTATATTCTCAAAACTAGATTTGTATTTAAAATATTAAAAAACTTAAAAATACTTATCTTTTGCCAGTAAATAATATTTATTGGTAAGCATAAGACAGAGCAGCATGGCTAAAGGAAGTGGTGCCTGTCCAAGACTTCACAAGTACAGAGCTTGCCACTTGCCCAGAGGGCCACGATTGGTGACGTACTTGACTCCACAGCCATCAGGGATGAGGCGCTTCTTAGCCACTCTGTCTTCAAATTCGTCAGCATTAAACTTGGTAAAGCCCCACTTCTTGGAGATGTGGATCTTCTGGCGGCCAGGGAACTTGGACTTGGCCCTGCGAAAGGCTTCAATCACGTGCTCCTTGTTCTGAAGCTTGGTACGGATGGACATGATGACTTGACCGATGTGGACTCTCGCCACGGTGCCCTGCGGCTTTCCGAAAGCGCCTCGCATGCCGGTCTGGAGCCTGTCGGCCCCAGCACAGGACAACATCTTGTTGATGCGGATGACGTGGAAAGGATGGAGTCGCACTCGTAAGTGAAAGCCATCTTTGCCACAGCTTTTCACCATATACTTGTTGGCACAAACTCGGGCAGCTTCCAGGGCTTCAGAGGAGAGCTGCTCATATTCAGCAGACACCATGTGACCACAGAGCGGGAACTCATCCACCTTTGCCTTCTTCCGACCCATATCAAAGATGCGGATTTTGGCATCAGGCACACCCCGGCAGAAGCGAGACTTTGGATATGGCTTGTTCTTACAATACCGGTAACAGCGAGCGGGGCGGCGACCCATAGCGACACAAGGAACTTCAGCAGCTGTGCGTCGATGAAAAATGGCGCTGGCTCTCGCAACTGCGCATGAGCCTTAAATACATTGCCCAACTTCCCACACAGGAACCATAGAGTCCCCAATTAGGGCCAAGAGACACTCTTTCACAAGGTCCCCAACCATAGATGCTGCAACATTCCACGCCTGCGTGGGGAAGCAACTTGGCACATGCGCAGAGCGGAGAAGCAACTGGGTGTATTTGACCACAGGCTACTGGGTAACGAATGGGCTTTGCCGCAATGGATCCAGAAGTTGATTTCTTCCTGCTTTCCATCTTGAGCATCAGACTTTTGCCCTAGGCTTTATCTTACCATAAAATATATATTTGTTACCCTTATGGTTTAAATAAGAAGGGTTTCTCCAGCTATTATATATATTTCGTGTCTAGTTTGTTTAAATTTATTTTCCAGAGCTCTTACCTCCCGTCAGCATTTGTAGATCAATTGTTACTTCTCAGAGTTATGTGGTCATCTTCCCCTGGTAAAGTGGTTCATGGCATAAGCTCTCTGGGTGGACCCAGGAAGAGGTGAGAGCAGAGTGGAGACGGGGAGATACCTGTTGTGCATATTGTTTAATAATTGCTTTAGAAACACGAAACTTTGGTATTTTTATTTATTTGGCATATGGAATGATTTTATTATCAATGGCATTCACAGAACTGAAATCCAAATGTAATTTTTAACTTAAGGCTATTTGCATTTTCAAGTGTTAACAATTGCCAGGGACTATATAAAAGAGTAACTATGCTTTTTAAATTGATAACACCTTAGCATGAGTTGAGTTGTTTTATTTTTTCTGATACCCAATTTTTTTAAAAATACTATGATCAGAATCAGAGTGTGGGAAAGGAGGAAAATGAGAGAGTTTGCAAATAGTCTACAATCCCTACTTGGATTTTTCTAGCTTTTTTGATCCTTCATGCTTTTTCACAAATCCATGTCATCATGGAACAAAATCCTTCCAGTGTGAGTATATTCTGATAATGCTTTGTCTTTAACACGAAAACACATAAATTGTGACAAAATGACTTCTGCCCTTACCAATATTAGGGTAGAAGTATTAAAGCCCCCAATGTAGAGAACTTTCCCAGTTACACAGAAGCTTTCTTTCTTTCCCTTCCTTCATTTCTGCTTTCCAGTTCTCCTCAAATAGTTCCTATTTACTAGGTAAGCCTAATGTGGAGATAAGGCAGTAAGTTATGTTAGGGTACTGTCACTGATCTTAACAAGTCTAGGAGAGGACTTTGATACTACTCAAACAATATGTCATCATATTACAAAGTACAAAATGTGCCAAAAGGAAAATCAAAGTGAGCCTTGAGAGTCAAGATGAGACCCTGATCTAGACTGAAAAATGATAGATAGGGATGATTATATCAAGAAAGACTTCACTTAGTAACTGTGTGGTGCATGGAGCCTGGCATATGCAAAGGCCCTGAATCAGGCAAGAACATGGATTACTTAAGGAACTAAAATAAAGCCAGTGTGACTATGAATGAAAGGGTGAGTGGTATAATGTAGTTGCGTATGTTGGGGTGGGGTGGCTTGCATATCTTGTAGGACCCATTTTACCAAGTTAGAGATCCTGTTCTTATATTCAAGACCATTGATGAGTTTTACACAGGCTTTATTACTCTCGTTATATATAATATGATCAATGCACTGGCAGGGGCCCAAAAACTGATGTAGGGAGATCAGGAAGGGAGATTTTGCAACACTGAAGAAAAGGAGGATAATTTGAACATGCTTTTAATTACTGTTCACTTTATAAATATATTTTAATCTTTTTCTAGTACTATATGTCCAGAATCTCTCATAGTTCTAGGGGAAGGAGTCTGTGAGGTAAAAGGAAAATACCCAACCAGAATTCATGTTCCATCACATACTTATCCTCACCTGTCTTGGCCACATTCTGGGTTTCCAAAACCTGAGAATTCTCCGACCAGTGGATGTTATCATTATCAGGGCCTGTTTATATAATGCTTTTCCCTTAATCCAAAGGGTAATCAATCATGGTTTTCTTGGGACTCTACCACTTTTATCGTTGAAGTCCTACGTGCTCCAAAACCCCTCAGTCCCAAGAAAAAAGGGAAAGTTGGTCACTTTATCACACTTACGCATGGTGTCCCTGACAATTGCAGGATAGGATCAGAGGGTGGGAGGGAGGAAGAAAGCCAGCCTGGGATTCTCCATTTATATCCCTTTCTCTAACCCTATGAACATTAGAGGAGAGCCTGTGGAAAATGTATGAGCTACACCATTCTATTTAAATGTTGAAAGCATTCCTCTCAATCGATTGCAAAATTTTTAATGTTCCCCTCTCAACTCCTATCTCTGTGTCACCCACAATGTGCATCATGCTAAGCAAACCTTGCAAAAAATGTGTCTACTTTGAAGTAGTCTGAAATATAGTTAAGAAGATGATACATGGGAAATACTTAGGTTTTTCTTATTTGTAAATGTTTTGCTTTGATCAATACAATAAAAGTGTAGCAAAGGGACACACTAGTGTCATATAAAATGGAGATGGTTTAAAGAATGAGTAGGACATATGTAAGAGAAGGTTAGTTTTAAAGAAAGGGGCATGGCAACTATATAAAACTGTTAAGATCTATGAGAATAAGAACTGTGTTTATTTGGGTCACTGTTTTGCCCCATTTGTAGCAAATTGAGTGACCATAGCACAGTACAAATTTGAATGATGTGATGTGTTGGTAAATGCTTAACAACCTGCTCATTAGAGAGCAGGGGGCTGGGGGAGGAAAGCCTTGATTTGCAGTGTTTGCTAACTTCTGTGGTGTAACTATTCCATCATCAATTTCAGCCAATAATATGATTTTAATGAACATGAGTATGGGGATAGATGCACACAGACAGCTCTTCTGAGCCAGTGGTAGCTGGCTCTAGCACACTACCATCTGGCTGTGCATTCCCAAGAAAAATAAAAGACAAACTTGGCTAAAGCTAATGATACATAATCTGACATAATAAACTTTGGGGTGGGTAGGGGGAGATCGTTTTCTAGAAGACCTTAGAAAGCAGGCATATAAACATATTTAGATATGATGATTCAGCTTTCACTGTGAAGTTTTTACCCCATGGTTTCTCTCTCCTGTTTCACAACTCCTATGTGAGAGGTCTGAACTATTCTGTATGTATTGATTAGATATGCATCAAGGCAGGCTTTACGTACTTGAAATTAGCACTGGTCAATATTAGAGTATCTTTTCCTTCATGCAGAGACTGGAAAGGAGCTGTTCTGTGTATCTGTTCAATGCAGCAGTTCTTTCCTTCTTTGATACCACATTTCAAACATTTCACAAAGAGCTAAACCCGACTTTGTTTTCAAAGAAGAATGTGAACCAGAGTCTAATATATTGACTCATGTGCACCCTGGATGCCCTCTCCTGCTGCTGAAGCCGTCTGCATTGTTGATCACTGAAGTCATTATATAGCGTTCCCTCACTTGGGGTTTGACAGTGCACTGTGATTCAGAGATCATGTTCCCACTTAGGCTCGCTATGAGGTGTAAAGCCTCCACTTATGATGAACAATCATTTTCATCTGTGCTCTTTAGGGACATCACACGGGAGGCTGTAATCTCAGTATTTTAAAGAGCTTAGATGAGCAACTGGACTACATTTTCCTAGAGTTGAGTAGTGAATGTAAAAGAGCCATGGTAATGGCTGGCCTTTTCTTCAAAGTCAGCCAGTTGTGTCTGTTGTCATGGCTAATGTGTGGTCATGCTGTCTGTCTATTTCTCACACACCTGATTCATAATGCTCCCCTGATCTATTTGACAAGTGCTTGCTTTCTGAATAGAAATATAGTCAGATTATTTTCAACTGTTTAGTCCCAGGGACATAATGTATTTTATTTTTTGACTGATATTTTATGCATTTTGATTATTCTCCATTTGGGAATCTGTTTTTTTACTTTGGATATAGGAACTATGTACACTTCCCTTTGGGTTTTGGTGGTATAGGATGAGTTCCCCCCAGATGAATTTTTTTTTACATTGTTCCAAAAAATTAGGAAAAAATAGGTAAAGATTAAATCAGGGAGAGATAGCACATAAATATGCTCATTAGAATTTGATTGATTTTAGTCAGTAAATGTTTACTTGTTTAGGTTTCATACTTGTACAAAATTTATAAGCTATTAATCAGTTTCATATGATAAGTAATTGATGTGTAGTTTTATAGTTAATGCTTAAGTAATGCCATAACAAAGGCATAATTTATTACATATAATAAATTATAAAATGCTATGATAAAGCATAATAAAAATGGTATACTAAAGATGACTTGAATCAACACAAAGAAGCTACATATCTGTTTAAAAGTCCTTCTCTCTTTAAAAGGCTTAGTACAATCTGAAAATTTGAGAAACACTAATCTGGGGGTGGGGTGCTGTATGTAAAGCTTATCCTCCCACATATTGAGTGAATGGGGTTCCTGTTCTTTAGCTCTAAGTCCCTGTCCATTTAAAAGGCATAAGGATGGGAGCAACATTATTTTCCCCAACGACCAAGCTGCTTGCCAATAATATGAAGTTTGTGCAGACTAGGTCTACATACATGTATGAAGCAAATATTTAAATATTGAGATTATTTAATTATTTTTATCATAACACCCAATTAAATTTCAGTTAAACGAATCTTGTGTGTTTAATGGATAACCTCTTCATCCACTGATCAGAATTCTTTTCATGAAGGTGAACAATCCACCTTAGTCCTTAGATCTAAGTATTCTTTAGTCATGAAATAAGTATTCCAACTGCCAGAGCACTGACTTTGGAAGGCTTTTTAAAGAGCTTCACCTCACCAGCCAAACCTTTTAGCCTATTCACCATTTGGTTTTCCTCATGGCAGCAAACACTGACCAAAGACAAAGCGACACACTGTTTGAGTCACGTGGTGAGCCACTGCATTACCGATCTGCTTAGGCCCTGTGTAGAGTTCAG